AGAGATAGCATGGGGAGAAATGCCAGATATAGGTGAAGGGGAGGAAGGCAGCAAATCACACTGCCATGTGTGTACCTATGCAACAATCTTGCTTGTTCTTCACATGTACCCCAAAACCTAAAATGCAGTAAAAAAAAGAAAATTTCTGTCCACATAATAATTTGCCCACAAATATTTATAGTGTCTTTATTCATAATTTTCAAGTCTTGACAGTACATGTATCAGTATTAGCTTGCCAATTTTAACAAATGCACTGCACTAATGAAAGATGTTCACAATAGGAGAAACTGCATGTGAATGGGGGGATTGAGGAGAAAGTGGAAACGCCTTTCCACTCAACTTTTCTGCATATCTAAAAAATCCATTGGTCTAAAAAAATGAACAAAACCTCAGAGACCTGTGAAAAATCATCAGACCAAAATGCACACAATGTGAGACCCAGAAGAGAAGAGAGAGAAAGCAGCAGAAAGAATATTTGAAAAAATAATGACCAAATTATTTACCAAAGTTTATGAAAAACATTAATCTACATAGGCAAAAAAAGATAAATTATTCCTGATTCTTCTGCAAAAGAGACATAGAAGTGGCTAATAAGCACATGCAAAAATGTTCCACATCATTATTCTTTAGGGAAATGCAAACGAAAACCACAATGGGAAACTACTTCACACTCAGTAGGATGGCTAAACTAAACGCAATAACACATTGACAAAGGCGTGAAAAAATTCAAACCCTCATACACTTCTGGTAGGATTGTAAAATGGTACAGATATTTTGGCAAACTTGTAAACATTTTGGCAGTTTCTAAAAATATTAAGCATTGAGTTAACAAATGACTCAGCAGTCTTCTAGATATTTCAAAAGATACATCCACATAAAAACTTGTACAGTCATGTTCATAGCGGCATTACTTCTAACAGCCAAAAAGTGGAAACAATTCCCTTATCCAACAACTGACATATGGATTAATAAAATGTGACATATTCATATAATCAGATACTATTCAGCAATAAAAAGAAAGTACTAATACATGATACAACATGTATGAACCTTGAAAGTAGTATGCTAAGTGAAAAACGCCAGTCGTTAAGGACTATCTATATGATTTAATTCAGAAAAAACCCAGTTTAGGCAAACCTATGGAGATAGAAAGTAGATTCATGTTTGCTGAGGGATGGGGGTTGAAGCGATATGGGGGGCATCTGCTAATGGTGACAAGGGTTGGGATAATAGCAATGTTCTAAAATTGATTTTGGTGATGGTTGCACAACTTTGTGAGTGTGCTAAAAACCGTTGATATACACTCTGAATGAGTTCATTTTATGGCATCTGAATTATATCTCATTAAAGCTGGTTTTAAAAGAAAGGATTGTCTGTGGAGTGGGGTCTCATGTAGGGGTAAAGAAGAGTGAATAAACTTCCTCTTCAAGGTCTATTTGTATCAGCCTAGTTCTTTTCTCCTCTTTCTCCTTGTTTTCCTCTTCCCTTTTCATTTCTCTTCTTCTTCCCTCTCCTCCTTCCTCTCCTCCCCTCTCCTCTTCTTCTCCTTCTACATATTTCAAACTCAAAACTACACAGCAAACCAACTTGTATAGAGCTCGATCTAAAACTTTCTCTAGTTAACCAAACTAACTCCTAATTCTTTTAAGATTAATTCGTGAGCTCCCACTTCTTATGTGTTCTATAAGCAGCCTGTAAGCAATTCTTAGTACTTATATATGATATTGTCATATACTATTAAAATAACTTACTTAGTGTTTTATCATTCTTGATAGACTTTGACTCCCCATCCCCCACCCCAGGGGCTGAACCCATGATTATATTCCTGACAGTAGGTATTCAACAAATGTCCATTTATTGGGACCAGAATCTTAGAACCTTAGTTTCTCACTTAGTGGATTCCCATTTTACCTCTAGTTATGGTCTAGTTATAAAAGTTCAACATTAAAAATTTCCCAGAACGAAGGACTTCATGAAGTCTCTATTAGACAGACTCTAACTGCTTGGAGAAGGAACTGTGCCCTCTGTCCTTGTTTTCTCCACAGGCTGTGTAACACGTGCTCCTTCAGCATTGGCTTGTTAATTTTTCCAAAGCTAATAAGAAGCATGTCAATCACTCTGGAATAATGGAAAACCCACTGGCAAGATCTTAATTATGTGTGAATGTGGATGATTCACTTATAATAGAATTTCCTTTTACAGGAAGACAAATTTATATCATGTTGATCAAGCTTTTGTAATCATGTCGTAGAGATCATATCTTTTGAACTTTCTGCTCCAGCAGTGTGACCTTGGGCAAAGCAATTGCTTCATTCCTCAGTTTCTCCACGTATATAGTGGGGATATTATCAACCTCATCAGTTTATTGAAAGGCCTAATGAACGAATACACACCGATGTGTCTGGCACATAGTAGGTGGCCAATAGTTGTTTGTTATCGTCATTGTAGTTAAAGAATGTCACCCAAGCGTTACTCTGTGTAAATACTGAGCCTAGAACTTCCTATGGAGAAATGTTAAATAATGTGGATGAGGAGCTTGTAGCACGTTGTGATCACAGAGCTCTGCACACTTTATCTCATTTGATTGTTCCAGCAACTCTTAGGAGACAGAACAAGCAGGAATTATTTATTAGTATACTCCTTTTATAGATGTGGAAACCAACCTTAGTTAACTGACCCCATAGTTCTTCAGGAACTGGGTAATTGGTTTATTTGAACTACATCCTGAAGAAAAATAAGTGCTGATAAAGATCACCTGTTTTGTCTTTATTTGGTCGAAGTTCTTATACTGAGTTTGCAACACTCTTGCCATGGTTTCAGGGGTGTGATATTTCAGTGTTCTGTATCTTCTTTTAGTTATTTATACTTTTATATACCCAGTCTTTCCCCCCTTCTTTTGCCAGTTAAAGAAAAATAAATAAATGAATAAAACAAAACTGTATGCTTCTTAGTTTCAGGAATCACTGGCTTCCAGGTATCTCTAACCACGGTACCTTTGTTAATAAGCATCATGTAGCCCCTCTGTGCTTCAATTTCCCATCTGTAAAATGGGGATAACAATACTCACCTCTGCGGGCTTCCTGAGTACTGAGTTAATACAGAGTACCGAGAACAGTGCTGTGAAGTGAGTGTTCAGACAACATTGCTGGAACCTTGAGGCCAGCACCCTCCAGAGAGGCACCTGGCTTCAGGGACTCATTCAGGCCACCCCCACTTTGCTCTCAGTCTCCTACTGGCGCTCTTCCTGTATACCAAAGAAAATTACAAACCACGCATGGCTTGAAGCAAAGGGTAAAAGAAGAAAGCGATCAAAGAGAAAACAATGCGAGGAAAAGAAACAGTGAGGTAGACATGCCTTGGTGAAGGACAGGAAGGTTAGAGGAGGACCTGAAGGGATATAGGAAAGTCACTAGAGTCACTATTGAATGGTTTGAATTTAAAACGTGTTTCCCTCCCTTATCCTTTCTCTTTAACATACTGGTTAATATAAGGACTTTTGGTAACACTTCTCATTTTGCTATAAAATTATGAGTATGCATATATGTGTATGTGAGGTCAAAATTATTCCATTTCTTAAAGGTCAATTATCCTTAGGTAAAAGGAGAAAAACACTAAACACATCCAGGGATATGCACTGCAACAAAGGCTTCAATTCACAAGAGTAAGAAAATGAAGCCTCCGGGGAAAGTTAGCATACGGAGTCCTGTTGTATCCCACTTCTCTGTATGAAACTATTTCTCATTTCTGTTATGTACCATGCCACTGTGTAGGCTCTTAAATACTTCAGATGATTACTGGTTAATATTTAGATGTCAGTGCTGCCAATAAATCCTTTCTCTTAACAGTGTCTAAAACAAATTTCTCTTTCATAGAAATATGTTATGCCTATTAGTTTAGTAAAATTTTGTGTTTCAAGGGAATGAGAACAACAAAACTTTCTGAGTTTTGTTTCTAGAAAACATTCCTATGTGCTTGAACGTTATTTAAATACTGGAAAATTTCAGCACTCTAAACTAGGCCGGCACCATTGACTCTTCAGGGTCACCATCCTGTCTTTGATGTCTTCCTCCAACTAAGTAGACCAAATGTGTTCTTACCCCTAATGAGAGGGAGACTGCATGAAGTAATTAATAGGGAGACAAAGATAATGTACAGAGATAAAGTCATCCTACAACATTTATCATCTTCGGTCTAGAGCCAGGACTCATTCAACCTGTCCCAAATAAGCAAATGTCTTTAGAGAAGAGAATGAAGTACTTAAAATGTATCCATATCTTGGAACCAAAGACAGGATTTTACTTCCAGATCACTTAATTAGAAAATGTAGCTGAGCCCAAACAACACTGGTTTAAACCAAATGGGTCCACTTTTAGGCAAATTTTCTTCCACCTCTGCCACCCTTAATATTGCAGGACCAACCCGTCTTCTTCCTGCTCCTTGGCCTACCTAACATGAAGATGACAAGGGTGAGGAGCTTTATGATGATCCACTTCCACTTAATGAAGAGTAAATGTATTTTCTCTTCCTTATAATTTCTTAATAACGTTTTCTTTTCTCTGGCTTACTGTATTGTAAGAATACAGCATAAAATACATATAGCATAAAAAATATGTGTTAATTATGTTATTGGTAAGGCTTCAGTCAACAGTATGCTATTAGTAAGTACATTTTGGTGGAATCAAACATTATATGAAGATTTTTGACTGTCCGGGGTTTGGCAGCACCCCAACCATTGTTCTGTTCAAGTGTCAACTCTACACATAGTCTAAAATTTCTCGCTTTAAACTGGTTGCATCTTAACCTAATACTTTTTTTTTTTTTTTTTTTTTTTGAGACAGAGTCTTGCTCTGTCACCAGGCACCAGGTGGGAGTGCAGTGGTACAATCTTGGCTCACTGCAACCTCCGCCTCCCTGGCTCAAACAATTCTCCTGCCTCAGCCTCCCGAGTAGCTGGGACTACAGGTGCGCACCACCACGCCCAACCAATTTTTGTATTTTTTTTAGTAGAGACGGGGTTTCACCATGTTGGCCAGGATGGTCTCAATCTCTTGACCTCGTGATCTGCCTGCCTCGGACTTCCAAAGATACTTTTCTTTAACTACATTAGATACATGGTAACCCTCAGAAGTTATTCTTTATTCTCTTTATAATTATAAAAATTGTACTGTGTCTATTAATGAAAAATTAAGTTCATACAACTTGATACAAGTTTGTCGTATTCATGTGTGTGATGTATTTATAATTAAACATCACAGATAACTGCAAGCTCTGTATTTTAATTAATAAAATGTTAAAATTCCCAAAGTAACCTGAGATTGATAGCAGCCGCAATTCAGTACTTGCTGTTTTCCAGTTGCTTGGACATATCCACACTGTGAACATACCCCCCAAAAAGGCGGAAGCTTTTTGTGTACCTATGGTATGCTTGTTAGTGAAAACAATGCAAGAACATGGGGTTTGGTAGCACATTGAATGGAAATCTTCACAGTTTGACAGGAAAGGCCCGATGAGTGAACTCCATGTTGTTTTGTCTATCAATCTGAAGAAGTGATAGAAGTGCCATCCCAAAATATGCGAGATTGGTATATTGATTATTTTGAGTTGAATACGCTGAAGAAATTGTAGTTTCAGCAAGGGCTAGCTGGCCTTCTCTTGCATCATGTGGCAAGCCGTGAGCATATCCCTGGGAGGGGTACTCTCCTCCTCCCCATACAAGGGTGAGGAAATAGCCTGATCACAAGAGACAGGGAATGAAGGGCTGCAATGGACCTTAATAAATGTACTTTCTGAAGTAATCCTTATTTCTCACTAGTTTTACAACCTCCCCCCACAAATATCTTCTATTTCCCTAGAAATACACTGCCCCAGTCCGATTTTCTTTATCCTGTAGTTTTTTTCTCAAATTCACCGTTCTTTGCCTAAAAAGTATGAAAGCAAATTGTTTGGACCGCTCCTTCAGTCTTGTTTCTCATGTGAAAATCTCCACATACATGGAAAACTGATAAAATGTGTATGCTTTTTTCTTGTTAATCTGCCTCATGTCAATTTGGTTTCTAGATTCAGTTGAAGAGCTCACTGACAGCTGAAGGGGTTTGGAGTTGATCTCAAGCTCGCCTGCAGATCAGCTGCAAGTTCTAACTCTAAGAGGAGAAGGTGTTTTCCCATTAAAAGAACTGGGTATATATTTAGGAATGACGTACATAAGTAAAAACTGGTTAAAGTACCATTTTCATGTAAAGCATGCACTTTAATACCAATCCAAAGATTATAAATTCAAGGTTTTAGTATCTGCAGTAAAATAGTCAGTGGTATCTGAGATCAAGAGAGTGGGTAAGAAGCAGAGAAGGAACGTATCACGGAATAGAATGTAGGCGGGATGAGTTTTCTGCTTCTCGATTGCGATTGCGTCGTCTCGTTGGTAGTTAAGGTTTTCCTATTCTGGCTGTAGTATCTGCAGAGGTTGCAGCACACGGGTTCCTGCTCTGGTAAGTTGTGATCCTCTGTATTCGCCTGTCGGTCTCTCCTGTTTTCGGGGCAGCAGTTTTCCCTGTGACTTCACTTTTCTTACGGATCTAAGATGTGTTGCTTTTTCAGTTTATTCAGTGTTTTCTTTGTTGTTGGGACAGAATGCTGACTTCCAAGCTTCTTACCTGCTAGACTGAATATCACCTTCATTCTTAGAGGAAAGGTGATTTTGAGCCTACCTTTGAGCTACGAGTTCATTGCTCCATGTTAGCCAGAGAAAGTTTAGTTTGGCTGGTAGTCACATTTGCGAAGAATCTGGAAGATGTGTGCCTGGGTGCAAGGCGGCTTGCATAGAAGTCTCCCTCCTGCCCTCCAGGGATGAAGGGTGCCCTACACCCTCCCAAGCTGTGGCTAGAATCTCTTTGGTATTGCAGAGAGGTAGAAAAGAGAAGTGGGACCGAAACAGAAAAGATGTTTCTAGATGTTTGGGGCATGTACTTAAAGCATCCCAGAGACAAAAAAATCGAGAAAGGTATGTTTGAAAAGGATTATTAGTAAATGTTTGCTCCCTGGAAACAGATTATGTTTCTACATCCTTCAAAAAATTACAGGATACAGTACAGGGGCACAAAGTAAAGTCTGAGGTTGTTTCCAAATGTGAATATACTTGAGATTTATTTTCTCCTAATGTTTTCCTTGTGAAATCAACTCTTAGAAGAAGAAAATTCCCCTAAAGACCCTGTATCCCACTGAATTAAACTGTAAAAAAAAAATTATTTCAGGTGCATTTCTCCAATTTAGTTCCCTCCAGTTCACAGGAAATCTTGTTAAAATTTCCAGCAGAGGAGAATATTGTGAACTTGGCCCGAATCCTGCAACTTGGGGTGGAGCCCGGAAACAGCTGCTCGGGTCGTTGTTCCCCTCCCTGCTGCTTTTCCCTCATTCACAGTCCTGGGGTTGTGCTAAATGCCGCCCGTAGAACAAAATTATCTCAGTGCTGGTTGCCAACCAAAGAAAGGCAGTGAGCTGATTAAACAAAGCAGAAGATGCCCGCCTTCCTTCCTAGAGGTGTTAAATCACTAGCTTTTTTTTTTTTTTTTAAGAAATAACAAATAGCAGGGGGCATACAGCAGTTGGTGAGTAGAAACCACACATTCCATCTTGAAATCTTTGCTGTTTTTGCAGGGATGCCCAGGACAGTGGGGGCACCTTCCTTAGGGCCTGGCCTGGGCTCCGGCCGCTCATCACTCTCCAGTTTCTGATTCCCATCTAACTGAACCTACCTGTCCCCCTTGATCACTCTCTGCCATCCCCATTATAAATATATTTCCCTCTTCTTCTCAGTTAAATATGGTCCAAATTGAACTTGTCATTTTTACCCTTCAAGTCCTATTTTATAACAAAAATTTCTACTGGTAATCCGGCCTTCCCTGGGGCTGCCCAGCTGCCGTTGGGGTGATTAGGGTGTTTCCTGCAGCTGAAGTCTCTTGTAATTAGCAAGCCCCTCAGGCAGTCTGGACTCTGAATTTAGCTGCCATCTGGTATCATCTGTAAATGACAATAGCACTGTATCTTCCCCTTTGCCTTAGCCCTGCCTGCACTTCGCACTCCCACTCCAAGCAACCCTTGAAAAGATTTCACTGCCTAGCTTCCCTGTCTGCTCTTAAGTATCAAGATACCTTGGGCTCTGGTTAATTTGGAAAGTTCTAAACAAGGTCAAGGCAAATGAGAGCCAAAAGTTTCCAGAACCATCAAGAGGATATAGCAAAAGACCACAGTGGGCCAAGTAGCCTCTCCTAGCCCTCTGTACCAATGTTTCTCAAAATACAGCTTCTAGAATAGTGGTATTGGAATTATCTAGGAACTTGACAAAAATGCAAATTCTCAGGCCCCAGCCCAGATCAATAGTCAGAAACTCTGGGGAGGGGCCAGCAATCTGCATTTTAACAAACCCTCCAGATCCTTCTAATAGAAGCTACAGTTTACCAGCTGCAGCCCTTGGCTTCTCACTGGTGCACTATTGACATTTTGGGAAGGCAATTCTTTGTTGTGGGTGCCGTCCTGTGTATTGTAGGATGTTTAACAGCATCCCTGGACTCTACCCACTAGATTGTAGAAGAACCCCTTCAGTGGTGACCATCCAAAATGTCTCCAGACACTGCCAAGTGTTCCCTGGCTAAGTCACCCCCATTTGAGAAACAGCGGTTCGCTATAGGTTCTATGTCTAATTGCTTAGTGCTATTTGACCAATGATTGCTGCTGTTAAGAAGTCTGTATACAGCACAGTGCTGTGTATGCAGTGCTTTTCAAGCTTTAATGTGCCTACAAGTCACCTGGGGATCTTGTTAAAAACCTGTTCTGATTCAGGAAACCTGAATTGGATTTTAAGACAGTGCATTTTTAACAAGCTAAAAGTCATGCCCATATTGCTGCTCTGCAGACTGCACTTTGATTAACAAGGTCCTACAGGATCCCGAAAGATTTATTGGATGAAGGATGAATGAATAATTAAAAGCCAAGGATTCCTTTTGTGGAATGCGTAGGAATTTTTCCCTTTGTCATTAAACTCCTCATCTCCAAAATTTTTCTTTCCTTAGTCCTATGTTTACATATTAAGAAAGATCAACTTTATTATAGCTAAGATAGCTTTCTATACAAACAGTACCAAGGATCTTTGCATATGAATCATACTATATTTAGAGATACAGGAGAATAAACACCCCAAATTCATTGACTAGCCAGTGAAAGATAGGATGGCCTATCACCATCCTGCTTCACTCAACTAATATCTTTTCAATACTTTCTCTGTGCAGAGCATGCTACTCAATTGCTCATTAAAAAAACAGATGTATGCAACTTGCATTAAATGAATACCTATAAGCTGTATGCTTTCACCATATGTATTTTCAAAATGATGTAAAAGTCATGTTTCCTGGGAGAGGCAAACGCCTTTTGGCCAAAAATACACATAAGAGAGAGAATTAGCCAGCAGGGCTAAGTGTTTTCATTGTCATCTCAGTTACTGAGAGACTGGTTTCAAATGATCTTCTATCACCATAGGAGAATGATAGCATTTGCAACTGCTAAAGTGGCAGGGTAATTTCCTTCTAGAGCTAATGAATACCTGGTGCTTTCTTTGTTTCTCAGTCCATTGACAGATATGGCTCTGAGATACAAAGATGTCTTAAAACCTTGGGGATTGAGAGCTGGCCTTTTTTTTTTTTTTTTTTTTTTTTTAAAGAAGTTCAAGAGCTTTATTTTTGCCCTAAAATTGGAAAAACAGACCAGCACACAATCAAATATTTCTATATACAAAATGACATTGTGTGATAGATAATAGGGAAAATATTAAATTTGACATGGTATTTTGCTTAAGACAGAACAATGTGGGATGCCTCAATTTCAAAAAGACACGAATGAGCTCCATGGGCTCATTTTCATTGCAGAATCCCATCATGTCACTGCCCTTCAATTTAAATTGTGCTTGTGTTGCCAATAAATCACTGGTCATAGATGAATACATTATAGTTAAAGTACACTCAGAGCACACATGCATTTTCATTTTACAATGTGTGTCAGAGACTTACTGTTTGGCAAGCCTGTTTCCTCTCCCTCCTTGGCACAAAGCTAGATAATAGTTCCTAGTCTTGCAGTTAGGTATGACCATGTAACCGATTTCTGAGCATTGTTGGTAAAACAGACAGGTTCTACCTTCACAGGTGGCCCATGAAATCTTCCCATGCATAATCCTCCATGCTCATATGGCTTCTGCTGGCTCGATGCAGATAAGCACAGTGACCTTGGAAGCCATGGTTTGAAGATGGAGAAGCCAGCATATGAAAAATTGAATTGAAATTCCTGGTCCCTGTTTAAAGGGAGGTGTCTGCTCACTAATCAGGAACGCTTGCTTTGGTCTTTACATGAGTGAGAAACAACATTTTCTCCTGCATGAACCAATGTACATTTTAAAAAAAATTCATTTGTTTCAACTGTTAGCATTACCCTAATTAATATACAATAATATATTTTATATTTCTCATATATAATTGGTTACCCCAGCCGAGATTCCCTTTTTCTATTCTAGATTCTGCTACCACATGTTGAATTTGGTTCTTCTTCCTCCTTCATCGCAGGTTCTAAATCATCATCACCTTCCTATACGTCCTCATCATTGCTCTGTACTTACCGACGCTACCTACTTTTAGGCACCTGTCTTTAATTATCATCTTATTTTAGAGCTCATTGGTGGCAGATGTGTGATGCAGTCAGAAAAAGGAAAAAGGCAATAAAAAACATTACCTCATTACTCCTGTTCCTGTTCTGTTAATATTTCCTTCTCCTCATCCTCTATCTCTTACCCTTTATCCTCCTTTGATTCTTTCCTATTTGTCATTATTTCCTAGATTTCTATTCTTGTTTCTCCCTATGTTGAGCCTCATTTCTCTGCTTTTGACTGCATAGTCTTAGCTCTCTCTGCACCGCTAGCTTCTGGTGGTAGTATGGTCCCTCCATCGTGGGGCATCTCCTCATCTGGATATATAATTTTAGATGTAATAGAGGGTACAAATGTGGGAAGATTGCATAGAATGAGTAGAAAAAGTCCCAAGGCACTTCAGTGAGGGCAGTTTCGCAAATGGAAGCCAACACATTGTTTTAAGAAGAGGGGAACAATCATGTTGAATGTAGCTGAGATGTCAACTGTGATAGGAAAACATCCCTTATGCTTGGCAATTCTGAGCAGCATTCAGATGAAACCATCAGGAAGGAAGTTAGACTAGAAAGGAGTGACAGTACTAGTGGGAGAACTGGATACACATATGGACAACTATTTTGAAAATTCTGTGAAGTGTAAAAAACTAGAGAATGAAGAAAATGGAGCAGAGAATAAATAACTTTTGATGGAGAAAGTGGGGTAATGAGGAAAAGGGTCAAGGAAGACACGAATAGGCAGAGTTATGGATCCATGTTGGGGTGATGAATAGCTACAGGGTATGAAGATGATCCTTAATAAATGGGTAAG